AGGAATACAAACAACAGTCCCAGACATGATGAATACCAGGGAAGGCATAAAGCAATAATGACTTTTAAGAGCCCAGTGAGGACTTCTATTAGGTCCTCCTCTCCCTCTTATTCATGCATTCATCCGAGCCTTCTACACTCCACCCCATGACTCCTTTCTTCCCGTGGTCTTAGTCACAGATCACTTATTTATTTAGCTAGTTATTTACTCCTTCCCCTGCTCCATAAACACACTGAGCCAGCTTATAAAAATACACAGAACAAAAGGTAGCACGAATGACCAAGATAGGCAATGACGACAAGAGGAAGTAGATAGAGCCGGCCACAAGAGGAACACACAGAAATGGCGATCCTATGACGTTGCTTAGTTACTATAAGTGGGCAGCAGATTTGGAGCCAAGAGTCCTAGGAGCCACAGAAAAGAGAAGAACTAAGAGGCAGAAGGTGCACTTCTACTGGTAAGTCAGGAAAAGATCCATCTTTCTAATGACAAGACCAGACGGAGGTAAGTGATCATACTTCTTACTTGCTGGGCGTGTGGGCAAGTGACTGAATAAATGCTCTTCTGACATTTTCTCATTTGATCCTGGTGATCATGGGGGGCGAATACTATGATGGTGTTCATTTACAGATAAGGAATCAGAATTTTAGAGCAAGTTAGTAATTTTCCCAAGACCACACAGAGTCAGTCAATTGTAGGCAGGAGAGTCAAACCCAGGCTATCGGTTCTATATGCCAAACCAAGAAATGCACCCTGCAGGGCAGCGGGGGACCCTATGGGGTATTTCTGCAACAGAATTGTTTATAGGGCTGAGTCTCCTTGCCTCTTTCAATGCAATTCTTTAATATAGGCATGAAAGTGTAAGCAGTTGAAATTTAATTTGAAAGCATAAACAGTTGAAAGCAATTCCTTGAACTAACAGTTTGTTCATGTGCTAAGTTCTTTGGTGATCCAATGTTTTTCTTTGTGTAGATGTACAAACATTGCAAATCCTACCAGGAAGTAGATTGACAGGAATTTTCTCAAACCACAGGGCGTCATTCTAATGCATCCCAAACCCACTCTAGTATCACTTACTAGACATCTGGAAGATGATGTCTTTGGTCTCTCCACTCCTATGCCAACCTCTCCCCAGGAAGTACAGCCAACAGAACACACAATGAAGACCTCTGTGAAGAACATATAGAGGACAGCTTCACCTGCCCGCAGGTCTTTTCTTCTATCCTGGACTTTGTGAACTGCCTTAGAACTGGGCATTCCCTCTATTTAAGACCTCATTCCATTCAGGCAGCATTTCTCAAAGTTCAGCATCCACCAGCCGCTTCAAGCTAATGCTGACCACCAATTGTAGGTTAAAATTATCACAATTTTTAGTAATAAAAACTGTGCTTTTAGCAATAAACTCATATGCTTTTCCAAAGACATTTTATTATGAAGGAATTCAAACACATGCAAGTAGAATAGTATAATGAACTTCTATGTACTCATCACTCAGTTTCAACAATTACTGACTCATGGCCAATCTGTTTCAACACTACCCCTATCCACTTCCTCTCTCTCAGGTTATCCTGAAGCAAACCCAAATATCATATCGTTTCATCCAAAAATATTTCAGTATGTGATTCTAAAAGATATGAATCTTTTAACGTTGCCAAGACCACTGTCACAACTAAAACTATTCATAAGGAGTTCCTAAGTATCATCAAAATATCAAACTGCCAATTGTCTCAAAAATGTTTTTGTTTGTTTGAATAAGAACCCAAATAGGGCTCACACATTCCTATCAGAGCATTACTTTAAAAACAATAGTAATTTCATGTATTTGTAAGAGGATATTGTTTTCAATCTCTTCCCAAGGTATCTGTCCTATTTGTTCTGTTCTATTTGGTCAGGTTTCTTTACTCCACATGCCATTAGTTTCTCTCCTTGCCCTTTATTTTTACTAAGCTAAGCGATTCTAGGTCACTGGAAACAGCATCAAGTGTCTGATGTCTCTTTCCATTGGCTAGGGATTCAGAAATGAGAGATTTCTCAATGAAAACACATTTGGCCCACTTTATAAAATATACTCAAAATCCAGGTGGATGCATGCTTTAACTTGGAAGGTGAGGGCAAAATGGGTCCCCTCATCCACATGGACTGCTCCCAGCTCTGGAAAACGCTTGTCCGACATTACAGGTAGCTCTAGGCTGTGCCCAATAACACACTGCTCTCCCCCTCCAGCAAAGACGAGGATCGGCTATTGGAAGAGCCCAGCTCCACTCAGAGCAGTCTGGGCCTCAGTCTGGTCTTAAGAAAACAACCTTCATCCATTGGTTACGCTTATATGCATTCATGGGGGTGGCCAAGGAGAGGTCAATGGGGGAAAAGGAGACATATGTAATACTATATGTAATACTTTAAACAATAATTTTTTTTAAAAAATCTGATTTTTCAGCTAATTGTTTTCTCTTTTAGTAGTAAGAATTTAGCCTTTGTATCCTATAGGCAATGCCAGAATTAACAAGGTCTCTGAGGCAAACCACAGTGGACATGCCATGATGGGCAAAGGTGAGTTCTCATCCAAAATTGTGGGAAGGCCCTCTGATGGTAGAGGGGAGGATGGAGGAGTGGGGTCAGACCATCAGAAAGAGCAGTTAGGAGGCACTAGAATGCCCAGGCAGAAAGTGACGTGCTAAGCCAGGGAGGAAGGGGGCACACCGAAGAGGAAAGTAAGAAAAGAGCAAATCTGGAGACTGAGTGAATGTGGCAGATAAAGATGGAAGAGGGAGGAGTCTTTAGTGACATTCATGTTTCCAAGTCCAGCTCTGGGAGGCTGTGTGAAAATGCATTTTAAACACACACACACACACACACACACACACACACGTGCGTGCGCACAGAAACCCTTTACAAATTGTCCATGGCCCCAGGATGGAAACAGCCAGCTGATCTGTGAAGAAAATGTACCATGTGTGAAATACTCTGTAGTTACAGCAAAGATTCTCAACACTGGCTGCACGTGAGAACCATCTGGGAGTTGAACGACAACTACGCCCAGGCCCCAGCTCAGGCAGCTGAATCAGAATCCCTGGGTATTTTTCTCTCTCCCTTCGCCTTCCCCCAAGCACAGGTGATGCTATTGTGCAGCCAGGGCGGAGAACCACGGAGCAGGGCTCTTGGCACAGAGCTGCAGGAGGAGTCATTGTTGGAACTGTTCACAGCTTGAGTTTTAATTTGGCTCAGCTCGCCCCCCATTCCCCCCCGCCACACACACACCCATTGCTCGGGGTGAGAGAAATAGCCTGACCTTTGAAACTCAGCTTTCTGGCGAAATGAGGCTGGCAAGGGCAGCCTGGCGAGGAACAGGAAAGGAGGGAGCCAGGTGTCCAGCACATGTGCTTCCCCTCTGCCCGCTGGGACCATTGCTAAATGCAGGTGCCTGGGCCCACTCCGGCGTTGGTCAGGTCCAGGGTGCGTGGCCCAGGTACCTGCATGTTAGTGGTTCCCAGGTGACCCCATCAGAGGATTCATGGCACAAGCCCTGAAGCTGAGAGGCCTGCGGGGTGTGTGTGTGTGTGTGTTGGGTGGGGGAGGGCACCACAGTAGACATGTGCAGGGCAGATTCCCCTCCCCCACATCCTGGCCCCGGGCCCAGGAGACTGAATTGGCAGGTCTGATTCAGCTACCAGCGGTCAGTGTTAGAACAGTGTTAGTGTGGCTCTATCCAATTGGGGAGGGGGGAGAGGAGGGGGGAGAAAAAGTGCACCTGCCCCAAGTTTGCATTTGTAACAGAAGGTGGAAGCGAAGCAGGAAGGGCCCTTGGCTTGCTTACTCTGTGTCACCAAAAGGGAAGCCGGGGGGGGGTTTTCCTAGCCTGACTGGGGGCCGGAAATGAGAGGCCAGAGGAGCCCAGGCAGCAGCCACTGGCCTCTCAGGACTTCATTTCTGGTGAGTTTCGGTGTGAGGCCTATGGACCAGCATCAGCATCACGTGTGAGAATGCCAGTTCCTGGGCCCCACGCCTCCTCGCTGGACCGGCCTCTCTGGGAGTGGGGCCCTGGGTCTGTCAGAACGAGGCCCCAGGGGGTGCTGATGCTGTCCAGGGCTGAGGACCCTGCCCGGGAGGCTTAGGGAAGGCTCCCCACCTCTCCCTCCCGCCCCGCGGGGACAGGGAGAAGCTGCACAGCACGCCTCCCCTCTCTCCACTGGTTACTAGGAGGTGCTGAGTGACACACAGGCCACACGGGTCAGGGGAAAGGAAGCCAGGTTCCGGGCAGCTGCCACCTGCCCTGCTGGCTGCTCTCCTGGCTGACGCGGCTTTGTTTTTCTTTCCTCCCAGCCTGGAAGGGGAGCCGGAGGAGCCCTCCCTGTGTGCCTGCTTAACTCCCCAAAACTGAGGCAACGCAGGTCCAGACGCCCCGGGGCCTGGTTCCACTGTCCTCCCTAGAGACCTGGGAGTAGGACTGAGGCTAAGGGCACGTCTCCACACTCCTCTCCTCCCAGCCCAGTGCTTCCCTTTCTCTGAGGATGGGCGAGCAAACACTGCCGCCCTGGGGCGGGCTTCAGCCCCAGGGGCTGCGTCCTGGACCAGGACGAAAGACCTTCTCTGAAGGGGTCACAGTTCTCACCCACTCCTCAGGATGGGTGCTAGCCAGCCCGGGCTGCCACCACGAAATGCCAGGCCGGGTGGCTTCAGTACCAGGCATGTGTCTCTCTCAGTTGTTGGCTGGAGAGAGGCTGAGGCCCAGGGCGAGGATGGGCCCAAGGAATTAATTAAATAAGATGAATTAAAGCTACCCAGCCCTCCTCCCTTCTCCAGGCCCAATGGACCTCCTCCCAATATTCTGATCAGACAGCAGCACTAATGCGCTCTCAACAGGGAGTCCCTGGGATCCGGACTAAACCAGCCCAGTTGTCAGGGTTCACTACTGTCTTTACATGTGTTATTAACAAGAGTTCACAACATGGAAGCAAAGATTTGGGGGCATCCTTGGGTTACATTAAAAGCACAATTTCCTATTTTCTTGTCAAATGTCTTTACTTGAAGCATCAAGTGAAATATAATTTAACTCCACAGGAAATATCACACTTGGAGGGAACACAGAGAAAAACACACACCTTAAAGCCAAACATTCTTTCCAAGGCCCAGCGCTGACATTTCCAGACTGACAGCAGGAGGGGCGTTTCCATGAGGCAGAGCTGCGCGTCCAAGGCCGGCTTGGCGAGCTCTCCACCTCGTCGCCACTTCCCCGGGCTCAGGGCACGATGCTCGTGGCCTTCCTCAGGGCCAGGTAGCCAGTGACCACGTCGGAGGGCAGCCTGCGGATGTAGGAAAACTCTTCGATGGAGCTGAAGCGCAGCTTGCTCTGCGGGTCCGTGTAGTTGGCCTGGGAGGGAAGCGGCACAGGGAAGGGCAGAGAGTTAGTGACGGTGAATATTTTAAGTTCAAGTTTAATTCCCCCCCCCTATTTTATGGAAACTGACATATATCTTCATCATGTCTTACTCAGTCGCCAAGAACACTAAATTGCACACTCTGGCAAAGACGTCTTAATCTCCCCAGACTTAAGGCTTCAGAGAATGAATGGGAGGAAGAGGAGTAACCACATCGGATTCTAGGACTCTTCTGGTCAGTGCCTCAAGGGCTACGAAACTGAATTCATGCTGATCATCTCTGCCTTCAATCTCCCTCTTGCTTCAAACAAAGGCTGCAGACCTGTTCCCAAGGCAGGGAGCAGCACCCCCATGCCCCTCCCTGCTGCCCTCCGCCTACCCCAGGGCATCCCTCTCCCCACTTCCTCGCCCTCCCTGGGCCCCATGGCAGTGCTGGGCTGGCCACCAGCACCCACACTTCCACCAGGAGGGACGGCCACCCTACAACTTGCAGCTACAGCCAGGCTCATCTCTGCAACTTGCAGTTCTGATCGTGTCCTTTACGGAACCTCTCAGTGGCTCCTCTGTTTTTGGGACGGAGGCTCCAGTCCTCAGCTTGGCTCCTACATCCCTGCCGGCTCTTGCTCAGCCACATGTCCTCACTCGCTGTCCCAACTTCCCAGGCTCCGAGTCTCCCCATCCGGTGACGCTCCATTTTCCCTCTCCTTGGCAGGGGCCCCCACCTTGGCTCACTGTGCTCAGTAATCACCCGCTCATCCTATAGGACTCAGCCTCCACAGTCTGGTCATCAGTGAAGCCTTATCTGCCCCCGACAGGAAGTCAGGCCCCCATCTTCGCTCTCACCTCACCACACGTGTCCCTCGTGGGATGCTGATCGCTGTTTCTTTTACATACATTATCTGCAAGAGCCTCTGATTAACGTCTAAGCTCTGAGGCTCCCTGAGGCAGGAACCCTGTAGTGTGCTTATCACAGAATCCTGGCTCCCAGCACAAGGCAGAGCACAGCAGGCCTTCAGTCAGTGTTTGTACAGCAAATGATGAATGAATGATCCACCGAATGGACGCTCAGGACCATCCCAGAAAAGAGAACCTGTTTCCCTCTGACATACCAACATTCCCTGCTGGTCTGTTTCCCCATGTGCAGAGTGGAATCTAATGCACTCGCTATACATCTCAAGGCACATGGCTTCTCCAGGTTTTGAAGCAGAAGACATAAGAGTGAATCATCTAAAAGGAGCTCCTTTCAGAAAACGATGCAATGCCATTCAAGTCTAGACGCATAACATCCCGTCACTCCAGTGTGGACGGTGTGCTCCGGGGTCCATCACTCTGTGGGCCTGGACGCAGCCATGCTGCTTTGATCAGGGAGGGCGTGAAGGAGCTACAGGCCGCAAGGAACTGAGTCATAGGTTTCTCACGTGCTAAGGCTCCAATTCTGCCACTGGGATCTCCTTAGGTACTTAATGGCTTCCCATCAGGAAAATAAGATTATTTCTTTTTTTTTTTTTTTCAATATATATTTTATTGATTTTGTACAGAGAGGAAGAGAGTGGGATAGAGAGTTAGAAACATCGATGAGAGAGAGTCATCGATCAGCTGCCTCTTGCACACCCCCTACTGGGGATATGCCCGCAACCAAGGTACATGCCCTTGACCGGAATCGAACCCTGGACCTTTCAGTCCCCAAGCCGCCGCTCTATCCACTGAGCCAAACCGGTTTCGGCGAAAATGAGATTATTTCTAAAGAAAAAACTAAGACTAATTAAAGCTCTATAAGAAACAAAGCTTTGATCCTTTGGCTTGATCGAGATACTGCCTTTCTGTGACACTTGGAAGTAATGAAAGGTAAGACAGTAACATAAAGGAAGGCTTAAATAGGAAGGCGGCAGCAACGAGTCCCTTCCGAGGCTCCTGGCCATGAGCAGTGAGAGGAACGGACTGGCAGGGGAGGCTGCCTGCCTGCAGCTCCCAGCAGGGGTGCATCTGGCTTTGATCATCCAGCCTCCATACGCCAACCAGCCTGGCCTGGCTCCATTCCTGTGGCCACCTCACTCCTACCACCACGCTGTGCTGAGCCGGCCCGCCCAAGTTCAGATCCACTGCCAAGGAGGCTGCTGAATAGCACAGGTCCTGGGGCACCAACACAGAGGTCACCGACGACGAGAACTTGCACAGAAGGCACCTGACCTGGAGCTCTGAACGGAGGAGAGGGTGCCGAACACGCGGCACAGTGGAACCAGTAAAGAACTGCACTCCCAGTCAGAACCTGCTCCGGGTTCCATCACGGGCGCCTGAATGAGACAAAAGCCAGCTCCCCGCTGCCCGCCCACACCCCCCCCAGGTCAGGCAGCAAACAGATTTCAGGCCTTCCCCGGGGTGGGGTGACCGCAGTGCTCCCTGCCCCCCATCTCTCCCAGTGCCTGTGCTTTCCCCAGCTGTGGAACAAGGGCTAGCTGAACACAGATGTGACCCTGCGTGCCCCCTGCCCTGCCCACATGCAGGGAAACAGTTGCTTGGCTGGCTGGGAAAAGGTGGGTGAGTACAAACATGAGCTGGGCTTATTTTTTAATTATGTAACTTTAATTTATACAAGTAACAGATGAACATAGTTTCCTCTAAAAGGGAACAGAAAAAAAGACAACGTTTCAAATAAGACTGAAGTCCCCTTCTACCATCCTAAGTGCTTGGCCTTCCCCTGAGGACACCACTGCTAGGTGGGTACCTTCCAGACCGGTGGCCGTATTCCTCACGCAAACATAAGCACACCAGAGAAACCATGCACATTTTTTCCGTAAGCACGTGCTGAGTTTTACCTGGGTGGTACAGTGCTGCCCACACTGCTTTCTACCTTTCAGTAAACAATGTATCTTGGAAGTTAATCCTCGTTGTTACATACAAGCTCACAGACTAGGATGAAAATACTCCCCTTTCTCCCACTGACTGACCTTTATGCTGTCTCCAATATTCTGCGAATCCATTTCCTCCCAAACATTTCTGTACGCTGCTCCTTGGGCACTGTTTCTAAGGGAGCCGGCTGGAAGTCAATGCCGGATCGCAGGCTTTGCTTCTTGGTCTCAGTAGGCACTGCCTAACTGACATCCAAAGACGCAGTACCAATGTAGGTTCCCACCTCAAACAGCAAGGTATGGGGATATTCACTTCTTCCCCACCTGATGAGTCTTTTCCTAATTATCAGTGAGCATGAATATCCATTTACGGGTCATATGTATCTCCTCCTTGTAACTGTCTTTTAGGCTTGCCTTTCCATGATATGGTTGAGTTCTTTGCATATTCAGAATTTCTTGAATCTTACATGCATCGGGGCAAGAGGTGTTGGGTTTTATGTAACATGGTAAGTCCTATGCCAGTGGCACAAAGGGGCCTGGAACAATGATTCTCACAATGATTTTCGTGCCTCCTAATGTGTGAAAAGCATTGTACAGCAGATGAGCTGTATGATAATGCTGAGGGTAAAGCTACCTTTTCTAAGGGACCACCCTCCGAGTCTGGCCATGACCCATGGCTTCTACAAGCTCAGCACAAAATGGGACAGGGAGAAATTTCCACTTGGGGCCATAACAGAATAACTGGTGCCAAGCTAGTTCTTCTGCCATAAACAGCTATTAAAAAGGGTCAGGTACATGAGGCAACTATTTTCAGGCAGTAAACAAGAGACAGCATAAGGCTACATTTCTCTCAAGGTGAATCAAGGTGAAGTCCCATTAGGGGACTTTTAGAAGAAGATACATGCCATGAATGGATACAAAAAGAACCCAGCACGCACATACATGGGCACACGTGCACACACATGCGTGCGCGCACACACATACACACACACACCACATGTACACTCAAGCAGGTGTGCTCCATTTTATAGCACTTTCTACTCTATCGGGTTTTTTTTAGAATCATTGTATTTAAGTTCCTATGTTAAAAAGTTTGTAATACACCGACGAGTGTATGCTCTCTGGAGGAAAGCTAAAACATATGACTAATTCAGAGTACAGATAATATTATTTTCAAAATTACAATAACAACTCAAATCCTTACCAATGGAAACTGTGGATCATTTAGTCAGTTTGTTATAGAAGTTGGAACCATACATTTTCATAAAAATGTAAAGCATTTAAATGATTCGGATGAGTTTTTAAAAGTGCAGTGACCAACTAGTTCTACAGTCAGGAAGAAAAGCCCATTTTCCGAACTGAATAGTGCTGAAAAAGGATGAAGATGAGCTGAAAGTTCCACCCTTCATCTACTTTCTGAAAAGGAGACGAGGTTCCCTGAGGTTTCTGAGGGTCAACGACTTGCCTAAGTCCCCCTCATCCTACCACGGCTTTCCAACTGTGTTCCCAGAAGCACTGTGGGGGTCACTGTGGTGGGCAGTGGGGAGGACAGAGGACCAGACCCACACAGTGGGCTCCAGGGGATTCTGTAAAGGATTTCATTTGGAAAAGGGGTCTGGCGCTTAAAACTATGTTCAAAAACCACTATCTTTACCATAGTGCCTCTTTAGAGAAGTTTAAATATTTTTTTTAAAAGAGTACAGACCCTCAAAAATGCAGGCTCTTTTTTAAACTTGAGTACTATAAAAGTTTGTGGGTTTTGTTTTGTTTTTTTTCATGTAGTTAACATGGTAATATATGAAGCATCTTTCATATAAATACAGGGAAGGGAAACTTGGGTCTCCTTTCTGGAGCAATCCTCTCTCCAGACTGCACACATGATGCCCAGGTACGTCACAGCCACTCTGAAATAAACATGTGAACACTCCGGCACAAACCCATTACCTATTCAAAGTCTATGGGCTCCAGGCAGCACCAGTGGTGGCCAATATTGAACACTGTATAAGTAGACAGTGAAATCTTCCTCTCAATTCCGTGTTATGAGGCATAGAGACGTAATTATACTCACAAGAAGACCTGAAACATCAGAATACTTCTTAGCTGGTTTGAAGGATGGAGGAGCATCAATACTGAAGTCTGCAAAGAAAGAGAAAAGAAAAAGAAGATTACTAAACGGGGTTTCAAACATTCAGCTCCCTTCCAGCCCAAGGGCTAGCTTTGCCCTGCCCCCAGGGACCACCGCTCTAGCAGAATCACAGGGAAAGCTCATCTGCCCACAAGCCATGTTCACCGTCTTGGGCTACATGAGCTGAGGGTGATGAGGTGCCAGATGACCCACTGCTTGGGTCTCAGCACCCAGATGTTGGAATGTCCACACCCAGACAACGGACTAGCTCGCTTGTAGTCATCTGAGTCCCCCCCTTCCTGCCACCCCCATGAAAGACATGCAATGGGCAGGAGCTCAAGGAAACTTTTACCTGTACTTTCCAATGAAGCTGAACAGAACAGAAAGCAGCACTTTACATAGATTTGGAAATGCTGTAGCCTAAAGCATTTACTCTGGAAAACACCAGCTCAGAGAGTAAAACAAAGCTTGCCTTGAAGCTGGTTGTGAGGAAACCTACTAAATCTGGGGCAACCTTGTTCTTGCAAATAACTTTTAAGAGTAGACTTCTGGATAAGAAGTTTGTCAAACCAATATTATTATACCAGGACTTGTTTCTCCAGATTGGCATGCTAACAGTGACATTAAAAACCACACATCCATGAGAACACAGAGTACAGATACCGTTAGGAGGAAAGGTACACAATCTCCCTATAGTGACACCACTATAAAACTCCTATGTTAAAAACTGTTTCCTCCATTTATGCAAACATAGTAACGCGGGTTTGTTGTAAGAAAGTTCCCAGTGGAAACATTATACACTCAAAGAAGGTGCTAAACTGCTCACAGTTAGGATCATTCAGTTGCCACGGCAACGCCCTTTCAGAAGCAAGGATTTGTTTCAGGTTCTTCCAGGTTCTATTCTTCTTGCCAGCAACTGCGCCACCATGGCCGGAGTGCTGGGAAAGGAGGAACAAAAATCAACGGAAAGTACCATTTCAGAATGTGACATGTATGCTTACTCATTACTGTACTATGCCCCTCATTCTGTCAGCAATCATTTGTACCCCTAAGCCTTTTTAAATATATATATGTATATATATATATATATATATATATATATATATATATATATATATATAATTGATTTTTTACAGAGAGGAATAGAGTTAGAAACATCAATGAGAGAGAATCATCCATCAGTTGCCTCCTGCACCGCCCCCCCCAACCCCACCGGGGACATGCCCACAACCAAGGTACATGCCCTTGATCGGAATCGAACCAGGGACCCTTCAGTCTGCAGGCTAACACCCTATCCACTGAGCCAAACCGGTTTTGGCACCCCTAAGCCTTTTTTATAAAAAGCATTACACTGTGCCCTTTAATCTTCCTTATAAAAAACAATGCTTTTGGGTTGTCAAAATCCATGAGTTAGTTGGTGATGAGGTAGAAATGATAGATTATGTTTTTTTACGGGCACACAGAAAATCACATCCTTTATTGGGTCTAACTTTATAGAACTCACTCAGGGATTTCCCATTATTTTAAAAAATAAATTTACTACAAAGTTAGATTCAAACTCATGACCGCATCTCTAATCTCCCTTCTAAGGACAAGTCTCTGCCTTGCAAATTGCTGGTGATGCTGGAAAACTCAAGTGTGCCTCACTCTCATGGTCCGACATGACCAGGAGGAGTAGGGCTCGTGTTATGTCAAGGCATGGCATGACTTCTGGAAACTTTTCTTATTTCTGTCCTATGAAGATGACAAAATAAAATGGGAAAGGGGAGCAAAATCTGTTGCAGGCATTGGCAATACTGTATTTTAAAAATGAATGGGGGAAAACAACTTCTATGTATAAGCTGAATCAGTGTAATTAAGTCCCTAAGAATGACAGGAAAAGGAGCCAGTTTCTACTTTACAAATGCTTAAAGGATGGGCCCTTTTTCTCCTGCCCTCACCCTTCCCACAAAGCCCAACACGGGGAAGGTGGGACCATGGAGAGAAGGGGACACCAGTGCTGCAGGCCCAGCACGGTCAGAATCCAAAGGATGGGTGTTTGGTTTTTAATGTATCAGATACCGGAGATGCTTACCACAAAGTTAGGATCCTTAAATGGCAAAGGTTTGGAAGTTTTGTCCATGGGGCCTGTGGTAAAGTCAGAGGGCACCATTTTATTCTCACTCATGGCTTCCATGCTGATACCCTGAAAACACAGTAAGAATAGTGGGTCAGTATCTGTTAGCTGAGTTCCCTACCACAGCTCTCAGACATAAGATGGCATCACAGGCCATGCGGGGAAGACGGTGTGCCCAGAGGCTCAGGAGGTGGCCTGCAGCAGCGGAAATCCTGCTGGACTGGCCACTGCACCTGCTGTGCAGAAGCCACGGGAGACTGGGAGAAGCCAGCACCCCAGATGCCATGCTTTCTGGCCCCGCATGTGCCAAGCACAGGGATGGGTGTCCTGCCCATACTGGCTCATTTAACTCTGATAGCCACTAAAGGTAGTACTGTTATTATTCTCAGAATACAAAAAAAAAACAACAGGCTTTCCATGACACCACATGGGCCCTACTCCTGCTGATCATGTCAAACTATGTCTTGAAATATTAAGGCGAAAAAGGTCCAGCCCCTTTAAGGGTCCCATCAGCCAGATCCCAGGCTAGGGCTCATATGCTTAAGGGGCACAACAGGATGTGGGCATTCTGAGGAAGGAGAAGAGCGGGAGAGGAGGCTAGTCGCTCAGCTGGCTGCGGCCAGAGTGCCTGACAAGCAGGCTAATGTGCTTTAAAACAAAAAAACTTTTAAACTAAGAATCACAAAGAAAAAAAACAAGACAAAGTAAGAAATAACTTCTGATTTGTAATGCAATTTCCAATCTTCCCAAATGGCAATACATTGTTTTTTTTTTATATATAATTTACATAGAGCGAAATGCACAGAACTTAAGTGTAGTTTCGTGTAGTTTCCTGGGTTTTGCCAAATGCTTACACTTGTGTAAGCTGTGCCCCCATGGAGGTAAGAGAGCATTTCCATCATGCCAGAAAGTTCCCTCATGCCTCTTCCTAATCCGTACCTTCCACCCTCGAGGGCAGCCTCTGTTCTGATTTCCACATCACTTTTGGCTGTTCTAGAACTGAATGAGTGGGATCTGAAGTATGTACTGTTGTGTTTGGCTTCCTTAGCTCAGCATAATGTTTCTGAGATTTATTTATCCACACTGCTGCATGGATTAGTTCATCTCACTGAGTTTATACACTACTCAGCAGAGTAGTACTAGTACTCTACCATATGGATGTACCACAATTTGTTTACCCATTTTCCTGTTGATGAAATAAAGCTGTTATGAAATATTTGTCCAAGCCTTTTTGAGGACGTATGTAAAAACCTGGGTAAATACCTAGAAGTGGAATGGTTGGGATGTAGGGTAAGTATATGCTTAACTTCGTAAGAAACTGCCAAATCATTTTCCTAAATGGTTGCACTCTTACATTCTAGCAGCAGTGTAAGAATTCCGATGTATAAATATATTGTAGATTTCACCTTGCCACCCCCACGACCCCCAGCACTTCCTGCAATGGCATCCATGTGGGAGGAAGGGGCAATGAGGGAGACAGGACCTGTCTGCTGCAATAGTCCTCCCAACAATCTCTTCTCAAACACCTGCCCAGACTCCTCTCCAGGGTCCCTCCCATAGCCAGTAAGAGCATGAAAAGATGCTCAACATTATTAGTGATTAGAAAAATGTAAATCAAAACCACAAGAGATATTATTTCCACCCACCTTGATGAATGTAATAAAAAAACACACATAATGACGTGTTGGTGAGAATGCAGAAAAACTAGAATCTTTATACACAGCTTGTGAAAATATAAAAATGTGCAATCGCTTTTTTAAAAATATATTTTATTGATTTTTTTACAGAGAGGAAGAGAGAGGGAGAGTCAGAAAATCGATTCGAGAGAAACGTTAATCAGCTGCCTCCTGCACACCCCCTACTGGGGATGTGCCCACAACCAAGGTACATGCCCTTGACTGGAATCGAACCTGAGACCCTTGAGTCCGCAGGCCAAGTTCTATCCACTGAGCCAAACCGGTTTTGGCATGTGCAATCGCTTTGATAACAGTTTAGCTACCTGGTTTTAGAGGCCAACCTAACAGCAAATGAGCCAGGGACTTCATGGAACCTGAGGAGGAAGCTGTAGCTGGCAGCCATCTGCTCTTTGGAGAGGTGGAGGTCCAAGGGAAAAGGAGGAAGCTTGGCCCGCTGGCTGAAGACACATGCGGTAAGCAGGTTGCCCGCCAGTGTCAGAAGAAGGCAAGGAGCCATTCTCCTGAGGACTGTAACCATTCATTAGGAGGCACCACGAGACTGCCTGGTGAGCAAAGACCAATGGGCATGGGTTGTCAGGAGGCTGGGCCTACAGAGTGGCCTAAATTAAGTGAGAGAGAGAAAAAAATAACTCTAAGAACTCTGCAGTGAATAGAAAACCATGGCAGCTGGGGACCACTTAGAAAAACAGGCAGAATATAAAAGAGGTTTCCTGGGGCCAGATGCACTTTAAGTTTCAAATTTTATTGCATTTTTTCATAAAGAAAATGACTACTTATATAATGCTGTTCCCATCTGGGAGAATGTAAGCAAACAGAACTGCTACGGAGGCAAAGAGGAGATCCTAAAGGGAAACGAAGAACCAGGCCCCAGCCTCCAATGTGATCACAGAACCGTCCACAGAGCAGGCCCGGCTCACAGGGCTGCCCTCAAGCCGTGGCCTTCGCTTTATCTCCTCCAGAACTCCTGAATGATGGCATTTCCCCTTTCTGTTCATGCCTCTTCCCTGATTCCTAGAAGTAAGGTCAAAGGCACAGGGATAGGCTGTTCCCAGGCCTGGAGAGACCCGGGAAAACGCCAACAGGCAGGAATGCTAAGACCCAGGCAGGCAGTGCTACCCCGGGGGCCACTAAGAACAGTCCGTGTGGGCTGGCAGGTCCGGGAGCTCTGCCAAGGGGAGGACGCACCTGTGGACAAGTGCATCTGCTGAGAGGAAGGGCAGCTTGTGGGAAAAGAGGGAGGGGCGTTGGCGTCACCGTTCCGAGGGGCATGCTTGAGGAGGGTCAAAAAAGGAAAGAAGATGATGTCCTCATGCACTGGTTTTCCAAACCGAGCCCTCCTGCTCCTTTGCTTACTCCTTCCCCTTCTGGTCCTGGCCAGCAGGCCAGCTCTCCACATGGAGTCAAGGAAAAAGGGGTGGAGAAAGGAAGCCATCCTGAGGTGCACTGAGCTCATCCCTCCAGAGCTGTGTCCTGCCTCCGCCTCCCTCTCTGACCAGGCTCCAAAATAATGCTCCACTCTGGCTCAGAACTGGGTTTTCTCTTTTCGTTCCTTTCTTTCTTTCTTTTTAAATTTATTTTATTGATTTTGTACAGAGAGGAAGGGAGATAGAGAGTTAGAAACATCGATGAGAGAGAGTCATCGATCAGCTGCCTCTTGCACACCCCCTACTGGGGATATGCCCACTACCAAGGTACATGCCCTTGACCGGAATCGAACCCGGGTCCCTTCAGTCCCCAAGCCGACGCTCTATCCATTGAGCCAAACCGGTTTCGGCTCGTTCCTCTTTCACTCCGCCCTCCATGTTACTGTGCCCTCATTCTTCCCTTCCCCTGGGCTTGGGCTGGGCTGAGACTCCTGTGTCAGTGACGGGATGAGAGTGAGACACCTTCAGTCAAAGGGAGGAGCACGTCTGTCAGGCCGGGAGGCAATAAAATCTAATTTAATATGATGTACGGTCTCCATATAAATAAACCTATCACACTAAGAGACTTTACGAGATGAGCTGTCCCGCCCTGAGACAGGAACCCTAAGAGGAAAGAAAGAACACGCGGCACCGAAGGAGCTGATGTCAGTCCCCGGGAAGAGGAACCTGGCCTGCATGCCGGCCCCCAACTGAGGCAAGTCAGTGAGGCCTCAGCTGTGCCCAACTGCAGAGCCCAAATAAATGGCTTCATCTCTCCAGACAGCATGACTGTATGACTGACTCAGACTTAAGGATGACTTGGGCACTCTGTCTGTGGCTACAAAAAAAGAAACAAACGTTCTTTGTCTTATTGCTAAAAAAAAAAAAAAAAAAAAAAAAAAAAAAATCAAATGTCTACTTACACCTATCTAATAATATTCTAGATTTAAAAGCTGGCCCTAGTCTACAACTACAGGGTTACTTAAAAAAAGAAAAAAAACTGAGATGAAAACTAAATATTCAGTAACATATATACTAATAAAAGGGAAATATGTGAACTGACTGTACTTCTGAGATGCCCACCAGCCAATCAGGAGTGAGTACGCAAATTAACACAACAAAGATGGTAGGTTAATTTGCATACGCAGGCACAGAGAGGCTGGGCAGGGCAGGGAGCTACAGGAGCAGCGAACAAAGAAGGCTCCAGCCGGAGCAAAGGCAGAAGGTGACAGCAGGAGCCAAGGCCTGGGGCCCGGATGCCTGAGGAAAAACCTGTGCCGGCAGTCAGGGGAAGGAAGGCCTATTCTTGCACGAATCTTCATGCATCAGGCCTCTAGTCAATTAAATAAGAGCATTTAATTCCTTGAGAAGTCTACCAACATAAAGATAGACTCATGAAATAATGCTAAGTGAAAAGCAGGATATACCAAATACAATGCTAAAGAACTATTTATACATAGAAAACACGAATTATTATAGTTGCTAGGGAAGAAGACTGGGTGGCTTTTTATGTCCATTTTAAAAATGGGGAGCAAGGGAGGAGCTTCTAAAACTTAACATTGTCATGATTTTTCTTAAAAACTGGGATAGAATGATTTTTTTAAATGAATAAATCAAATCAGTCCAGCATTGTCTGGCTGCCTCCAATTACAGAGGAGTCTTCCATCAGCCGCAGTCTACATTAACCTTCCAGAGAACGGCTGCTTCTCATTTAGATGTTCTGTTAACTGCTTACCCATCACAAATCAGCCTATTATGTAACACGCAGTATGTAGGCCAATTAGGTCTCTGTAGATTTTATCAACTTGAGTAGGCATTTGTAAAGTCTAAAATACTGACCTCACAAAATTCCCCCCCAAAGCATTTCTCTGCACATGGACTTGGTTATATCAGATATCTAGTTATATCTTCTAAGCTATAGAATACGGGTGATATCAAAAGAGGCAGCATGAAAAAAGAACGTGGTCTCTGGACAGTCTTGGGTTCCAATCCTGACTCTACCACTTGGTAGCCATGTGACTTTGGCAAATTTATTTAACCTCTCTATCTATGCCCCAGTCTTTTTATCTGTAGAATAACAATTCACAGGGATTGTTTTGAGGATTAGATGAACTTCAGAAAGTGCTTGGAACAGTGCCTAGTATATATTAAATGCCTAATACATAGTAATTATTACTTATCACGATTTCTTTCACTTTAGCACAGTGTGCCCCATGGACATACTGGGAGAAAATACTTGCACTGCATATATTTGGCAAAGGACTCCAATCGTATATAAAGAACTCCTGACTATTAATAATTTTTTTAAAACCCAATTAGAAACAATTGATATTGGAATGGTCGATAAGCATATGAAAAAGTGACTGATATAATTAGTAATCGGTAATCAGAGAAACAAAAAAATGAGACAGTACTACACAGCCTTCAGAATGGCTAAAAGGAAAGGTGGAGGATGTAGAGCAACTGCCACAGTCATACTTTGCTGCTGAGAATGCACAACAGTGCACCCACTTAGGGAAATACTGCTTAACAATTTCTAACTTAGTTAAATGTATGTCTTCCTTATGACCCAGCGATTCCATTACTACCCATTTACCCAAGAGAAATAAGAGTCTATGCCTACTTGTGATACGAATGCTCCAAGGAGCTTAAAAACGGTAAATAACTCAAATGTCCATCCACTGTGCTATGTTTACATAATGTGCCAGGTGTACGGATACAGGTAAAATAACATGAATAACTTAAAATCCGTTTCACAGAGAAACCCAGACACAAAAGAGTACGTTCTGAATAATTCCATTTATATTCTGTTCCAAAACGCAAAGCCAATCTATGGTGAGGGTGGTCAGAATAGTGGTCACCTCTGGCAGGGAGGGAAGACCCCGTACTAATGCCTCGAAAGGGTCACCAGGGAATTTTCTCGGGCTCTTAATATTATTCTCGATCATCATCTGGGTGGTGGCCACATATGCAGCAAATGGTTCTTCTGTACTCAAGATTTGTGCACTTTACTGTATGAAAAATCACACCTTCACAAAGTATTTTTTTTTAGGGGAGCACTATTAACTATCCATGGGAGGAACGACAGGCAGTTAACATCTCTAAAGCATCCTTCTGGGTGAAGGAGCCACACCACGTGCTGGAGAGGGCACAGGGACACACTCCTTCGCTGCCCCCTTATTGCTTTAGGTAAAATGCAGGGGCCAGGACACACACTCTTCTGAGCCACTCCTCTGTGGAGTTCTCTGCTGGAATGCTGGGGCCTGGATCATCATGCTGCTCCGGGCTTTCCGACCACGATTCTCACTAAATCCTTCGGACAACCCCGTGCGGCAAAACCAAACACACTTTGGGAGCGAAGCTGGGGGTCAAGAAGCTCTTTTCCGAGGATGAGGGAAACCACACGTATCAATACATCCTCAATACATCCTGGTAGTCCTCCACGTAGGCCTTCGGGGTGCTCTGCCCCTCACAGACACTCGGTAAATGTCTATCAATGGACAAAAGTTTACCCGATTCCCGCCCGTCCAAACTACGGGAAGAAAATGCTGCATCTGCACCAGGGGAACGGTCCTGCCAAAGCGCTGACGTCACCAAACCGGCGCATGCGCCCTGACTCGCCCGGCCCGGCTAAGACGCCCTCACGCGGCCCCGCGCAAGCGCTCTCCCTTCGCCCCGCCCCGCCCGGCCACCGCGCATGCGCAGGCTGGTCGCCGGGCACCGTACCTGAGCGAAGCCGGAGGCGGACACTTTTTTCTTCTTACCCGCGCCGTATCCCCCGCCGCCGCCGCTGCCGTTGTGGGAAGGACTGGCCGGCCGCTTCTTGCTGTTCCGGGGTATCCCCGGAGCGGCCGTGGTGGCCACAATTGGAATCTGAGCCGCCATCCCTACGTCTGAGTCTTCTTCCCTTCCCCCCACCCCCCTTGCTTTCTCTGCAAAGGTCCTCGGACTTCCGGCTCGAGGTTACTTCCGTCTCTGAGCCGAAAACCCGGCCGGGACTCGTGGAACGCCCGCCCGCCCGCCGGCTTCTCTCCGCCAAATCCAAAAGGCGGAGCTCGGCGCAGCCTGTTCTGTTGGGACCGGAAGGTGTCTGCGCACTGCGTCCCAAAAAGGGCACGTGCTTGCAAATCCCTTGCGGTCAAGGAATTGGACATCTCGCCATCTTTATTTGAAAAAAACAGGGTTTTAAAAATAACCCTGTTCACTTTCCTAAAGTGAAGTCAGAAGATGGGTCCTTTTTGCCCCAGGGGCATGGCTCAGTGATTGAGCCTGGACCTATGAACCAGGAGGTCACAGTGGATTCCCGGTCAGGGCACATGCCTGGGTTGCAGGCTCATTCCCCAGTGGGGCGTGCAGTCATTCTCTCATCACTGATGTTTCTATTGTTCTCTCCCTGCCCCTTCCTCATTATATACATATACATATACATATACATATACATATACATATACATATACATTAATATATGGGTCACTTTTGATGTATGTAACAGTGAAAGTAGGGTCATTCTGGGTGGATTAGACAACTATAGCCTTCCCATTGATCATTGCCTTCTTGCAGGGAAGAAATTTGTGTGTCAATAGAGCCCAGATGGACTTGAAGGGTAGACTGGTTCTTAACCCTTTAGGGTCACAGCAGACCTCTTTGAGCATGTAAGCTAGGCTACCCTCCCTCTCCAACCCCCCACCAAATGTATTTAGGTATAGATAAAATATTATATACGATTTCAGGGGGTTGACAGATTTGCTAAAACCTATTTATGAATTTCAGTGGAACATACCCTCCCACTTGTTATTGATTACTTAAACTGCGGGGTTTATAATTGGTTGGTTAATGTCTTTTGGCTTCTGGTAGAATGTAAGCTCTGTGAAGGCAAGGCCAGTTATGTTTCATTCATTTATCTTTCCCATCTCACAGTACATTGCAAGTCATCAGTACATTATGAATATTTCTAATGAAATAGTTAATGAACGAACCTCCTACAGTAATTAGTTGAAGCTACTGTGTTCTCATAAGGAAAGTGGCATATATGAATCTAGATATTTAATAGAAAAGGGCTGCAGAATGACTTAGATGTGTGTGTGTGTGTGAGTGAAAGAGAGAGAGAGAGAGAGAGAGAGAGAGAGAGAGAGAGAGAGAGAGAGAGAGAGAGAGAGAGAATAGTTAAGGAAAGTAACAGCAAAGTTACTGACATATTTTCTCTCCAAGCTCAGTCTCCACCCCTATCCTCACCCAGATCTAGGCTTCCTTATACCTTATCTCAGTGGCTACACCAACCAGCATCCAGTTATCTAAGCCAGAATCTGGCTTCCCAGGCCCACCCTCTCTAATAACCCACTCATCCCATTCTGGACTGCCAACCTTTCAGCTTACTCCTTCACAACTCCTGCCCCAGTGAATCCATCTCCTCTCACCTAGATGCTGCAATAGCCCCCTGATGGAAGTTTGGACCTCCATCTTTTCTAATCCTCCCCAGCCCTAAGCCATCCTTCACACTGCCAAAATGGGCTAAATCACAAATCTAATCATACCACTTACTTATATTCATCAGAGCCCTTTCACCTTGGCATAGAAGGTCCTTAATCACTGGGCTCTCACTTCTCTTCCTTCATTCTCAACATTTCATTTCCTCTGCTCCAGCCAGGGACTATTCCTGAAAATGCACATTGTTCTCTTAACTCATCATATTTTTGTTTCCATTATTTCCTCTCCTAGGATTGCTTAGCTCCTTTACAGCAATTTAAGAGGCCAATGCCTTATCCATTAGGCAACTGGGTCCTTTGCAGCAATTTAGATGCTGCTTCCAATGTAAAGCTTTGGGCATCTGATGAATCCTCTTTCCCCTCTTTCTTTCCTATTCCCTCCCTGCATATGGCTCTGAGGGCACTGAGTATACAGGGGGCTCTGTTGAGCACCTTTCTATAATCCCTTAATACATGTTTATTGAGTTCAAACACCAGTTCGCTACTTTAAAAAAAAAAAAAAAATATATATATATATATATATATATATATATATATATATATATATATATATTATTGATTTTTGTTCAGAGAGGAAGGGAGAGAGATAGTTAGAAACATCAATGAGAGAGAGTCATCGATCAGCTGCCTCTTGCACACCCACTACTGGGGATATGCCCGCAACCAAGTTACATGCCCTTGACCGGAATCGAACCCGGGGCCCTTCAGCCCCCAAGCCGATGCTCTATCCATTGAGCCAAACCGGTCCCGGCTAGTTCCCTACTTTTAAGGAATCAAACACCATCTGGATTCCCATTGCTAACTTCAGTCCTGGTGCCGTCTGATCCCTTTCTTCCTGAAATTCTTCCCTTGGGATCTGGAACACCACCATCCTTTACTTCTCCTTTTCCTTAACCAGTTGTCCTCTCTGTGATAGTCTTCTTCTTCTACCAAAGGGTTTCTTATCATACTACAGGTTAAAATATAGGTTATGTAGTCACATTCCCCTAGCAGATACACATTCTTTCAGTTTCCCAGGTGATTCTGCTGATCAGCCATGTTTGGAACTTGGCTCTTCCTGTTCAGTCCTTGCACATTTAGAGTCCCTTGGTGCTTGGTCAAAGACCCTCTGTCCATTCCAATCCATACTCTTTCCAATCACTTCACCAACTCATGGACCTCAAGGACCATCTAAATGCACACCACTTTCAGATTTGCTTCTCTTATCTGGGTCTTCCTCCAAAGATCCGTATCCAGATGTAAAATTCCCCCACCCAGATATAAGCTCATGTTGACAGGTACCTCACACAGCCTTGCAAAAACAGAATTCTTCATTCTCCTTGCTTCTCTAAAACATGTTCCTCCTTCAGTATTTCTTATCTCTGTAAATGTCACTATTATCTACCAGTTATTCAAGCAAAAACCCTGGGCGTCATCCTTGACTACTCCCCTTCATCCATCTGCATGCCATAACGCTATTCGAGCCATTATCATCTCTCTCTTGGACACTCACATCACCTTATTTGTCTCCACGTTTCTCCCTTTGGTCCCTCCAAAGCAGGCACCATGTGCAATCCCAGATGATGCTAATGTGCATATTCAGATCATACCCTCTACTCGAAACCCCTCAGTGACTTCCTGTGATCCTAGACTGAAGTCCAATGTCCATACCATGAGAGGTTTCAAAGGCTCTCAGGGACCTGTCCATCTCTCTAACCTTGCCTCTCGCCCAGCTCTTGCATTGCAGTTCGGTTTTCACTTTTATCACTTCCGCCAACCAGCTGTGCTCCCTCTTCCTCAGGGCCTTGACACAGGGCTCCTCCTGTGTGAAAACTGCTTTTCTCCCAATGCCACCCACTCTGGTCTCATTTACTTCCACTTGCCCTTCTGAACCTTGGCTAACATGCTGTTTTTCAGCCTTCACTATCCCTCTGGTTTTGTTAAAACCCCTTGTTCCCTGTTCCCATTAGTCTCAGTCTCCAGTACCATCTGTCTTTCCTGTTACATCTCACTCCCTGAGGATGGAGACAAGGACAAACAAAACAGAATTCTCCCTGCTCTCAGGGAGCTCCCAGGATAGCAAGGGAAGACAGAAATTAGGTTTGTCTTCCCAGCTGAACATAAACTCCTTGTGGGTAGTTGCCAGAGTCATCAAGGACTGAGTGGAGGAGCACCCACAGATGACAGCAGCAAGGAGAGAGAAATGCAGGACATCCGCTCAAGGGAGCAAAAGCTTTGGGCTTGGTAGAAACCTGTTCCACATCCACCTTGGCAGCGCCAGTCAATGCACAGTCCTGGCACATGTCAAGGCGGCATATGTAACTCACATGTTTCCACGTCTATTGGTGAAGATAAATTAACGCTGAGGATCCATATTCTGCTGGCTTATGTGTTGAGGTGGGACCTATGCCTTCCCTGAGTCCCCACCCTGGTTACTCCTGAGAACTTGTCTCGGGCATGTCTCACCTTGGCCGTGGGTGTACTTCCTCTCTGGCCTCCGCAGCGGTGCCTGCTGCTCCTGTGTCCCTCACCTACGCCACACTTCCCTTGGCAAACGCTGCTCATGCCCTCACTGGGGCTTGCCAATTAAGCAGCCTCAGCCAGTCTTGATCCCAGTTAAGATTTAATGCTAAGGAAAGAATAATACGCTTGTTAAGTTATCCCGTATCATCTGAGGCATAAAGCACCTATTGTATTGTCCCTCAAACATCCCGGGAAACACTGTGGATATCTGGGATCATGCTGCTCCTGGGTGGAAGACACACTCTCTGTCAATCTCCTGATAACTTGCCTAAAGCATGATAGTAATTGCTCACTTTGCAATCATTTGGTATAGAACTCGTGGATGCTATGAAGAAATCTTGAAGCTGCAATAAAGACCCTCACAATTTCCCGCTCCAGCCACTGCAAGAGGCAGCAGGTGTGCATGTTTTGAACTAGGGAGACATGTGGCCCAAAACAAGTCCACTGCAGTGAGAAGCTGATGGAGCCCCTAGGACAGTGGTCAGCAAACTCATCAGTTAACAGAGCCAAATATCAACAGTACAACAATTGAAATTTCTTTGGAGAGCCAAAGTTTTAAAACTTAAACTTCTTCTAATGCCACTTCTTCAAAATATAATTGCCCAGGCCATAGTATTTTGTGAAAGAGCCACACTCAAGGCGCCAAGGGGTCGCATGTGGCTCGCGAGCCACGGTTTGCTGACCACTGGTCTAGGAGATCATTACATCCTCTCCGAGAGCAGCACATGCCCTGGGGGGTGTGGAGGGGCTAACCCCTCCTTGTTCTTTAGGATCATCTCACAGGAATCTTCTCTGGTCTCTGTTCCCACAGACAGCCCAGTGAAATGTCCCTACAAGGAGGTGCTCACAGCAGCCCGTTTCTTCCATCCCAGATCTTCCTATACCACGTGGTAAGTACCTGTGGATGGTAGGCTCATTTGGGCAGGAACCGTTTCTTTGTCACAGTTTTGGGGGCATTTCAGGCACTCATTGATGATCTGCTGAGTGCCTCGTTATTTAAACAATCCTTGTCTGGAAGGAGAGAGCTTGGGCCAGTGAGGGCTGGTCTGGGCCCTAATATTTGCAGGGCCCAGGCCAGCCCCCAATACTAATGTGTCTTAATATTTAAACGTACAAATCAAGCTATTAGACTGTAAAATAAAATAGGTTCTACCTTTCTATCTTGGCAAACACACCCCCCTAATGCAGAAGGCCAGAGTTGGATTAAGAATTCCCAGAATCCCTGGAGTTCTGTTCTGGATGTGGTAGCATGGGAGAGCCATTCGGTGCCTGGCCACCCTCTCGTTCACCCCTTGCTCCACTGGAAATCATGAAGTGACTTGTTTGTTCATGTGTGCGCACCCCAACCCAAACATCCAACTTCATCCATCTTCTTACCCAACGCTCCCAAACAGCCTCCTCTTTACCACACATCTAGGGGTGCACACATCAAACCCAGAGACAAGGCCCACAGAGACTCTGGAAGCAGGTGCAGAGCCATTCGAGCAGGAGATTCTGGGAGTCTCCAGTACTTAGAGGAAGGGTTGGGGCACCGATGGTCATATGCCCTGGTATCCACAGACCCCTTGCTTGGTGCAGAAGGGCATGACAGAAGAGAGCGCTTTTGTGCAGGCGAGGGACCTGCCTGTTACTGGGATAAGTCCTGAGAAGGCATCCGATGAGGAGCATAAGGGAGGGGCAGGGAGATTCTGCTTCCCTTGAAGCTGGGGTGGGACAGGGAAGGATGGGTCCGGGTGGAGGCCCATTTTTTGATGAGATGGCAGGAGGTTTATGTGAGCCCGGCTTTCTAAGTAAAAGTAGAGGGAGGATCACCTGCAAGGTAGAGGAGAGGGGGCAGAGGCTTGGGAAGGGTCATAGATAAGCTTGGAAAAGCCAACGTTTAACAGTAGCGTAAGAGAGGGCTAAGAAGGAACCTGTGAGAAACATACTGGCAGTGCCGTGGCCTGGCATGGCTGCCTGTGTTCACTTGGGTGGGTTGGGCACAGCTCAATCCAGGAAGCAGTGTTGACATCAGCAACAGCATGATGGAAACTCCTCGTGTTGGCATTGAGCCTCTTGCACACCCACCCCTGGGCCAGGCTCATGCAGTCTTCTCTCTGAATTTGACCTCAACAGTTACTGTTTTGCAAAGTCTGAGTGAGAGAAACTAGTGTTAAGGACCTCTTGCTTACTGGAATCACTTCTTACGCCCATGCCTGTTATGTAAACACTAAATTAACATTACAAATACGGCCCCAAAATGCTGACAAAGGTCTTCCCAAATAATGGGGTCCTTACTGATTTTGCTCCCAGGATGGTATTTTCCTCATCCTTGCTACCCACCTGGGGAACCCTCCTCCTAGCACGCTTTTCCTCCTCTCTTACCAGAGGCTCCACCCATTACTTAAAATAAATGGCCATTTTAATGCTTACTCATTGTGCACATCATAAAGAAAGGAAACAAGAATAATTACTATAATTCTCCGTTCTCTGAGATGCCCATCCTATTTTGCTCTCCCCAACCCTCAAATTTGCTAATCCCCAGGCTGGGACAACACCTGCCTTCTTCAATGACCAGCCTGCTTCCATTTTCCTCCTAACTCTGCTACTGTGTTGTTGATTTGCCTTTGATTCTATTCACATGTGACATTTCGTTTCCACCAGCCGTGCTTGTCCTTCAAGATGGTACTGGAGAAAGTCAGTCCAAAAACCTTTGGGGTCACTTTTGTTCTGAAATAAAACAGGGTGATATGGAGGCTTTGCTTTCTAAGCTCACAAAGAACTCCTCAAAAGACTGAGAAGCTGAGGCCTCCTCTAGAGTGCCCTTCACTCCACGTCCTCACAAGATCTTGCTGGTCCCATCCAGAGGCAGCTGAACCAACCAGTCCAGCTCCCAGAGTGTGCCCATCCCTGGGGACAGGGGTGGGGCAGAGGGAGGGTGACCCATTTTGAACAAAGGGATAGTGTCAGCCACCTCCTTTCCTGGTAGGACACCAGAGAGGCCCAGAGGTCTGTGGGACACAAAAGCCCCACCCTCTGCCTTGTCCAAGGAAGCCCAGCTTGGTGAGGAGGCTCTGCCTGTCATTGTTTGGAAAGGCAAGAAATGAAATGTGTGATTTTTCTCACAAAAGTTTTAGAAAAGTATTCATTATCTATGAAGTTTCAAACTCCTTGTGATGCCCTGTGACTGACCTCTTTATCTATCCTTTTGTATTCTCACTGGGGCACTTGAATGTTGAGTGGGTTCTGACCAAGTCCAGCTGGTTTCCATCCCACTTCTCTCAGGGCTCTTGGGGGGCTGTGCCTCATCCTGGCCTGGTGCCTGCCAGAGCTCCTCTGAGCCCAGCCCCGGGATCTGTGAGCAGAGTGGCTTCTGGCCTCTCACCTTAGCTTGTGTTCACTTTCACAACTCTGACCTCGTGGTGGAGCTCTTTCTGAAGTGACCTATTTGGTTCTCTACCTGCCTACAGCAAGGAGGTTCTCATGAGTTATAGCTGTGTCTATGGCATTTTTCCTACACTAAATGGCCCTGGACCAGTAGGTAGTTTGAGTTATTGCTTTATGATTTTCATTTTTGTCATTGAAGAGTTGGCTTTAGGTATCTCTCCCTTATATGTACTGAGCAGATGTTCTGTTTTTAATATGCTGTAGACAAAAGTGACAGATCCCCAAAGATATTAGGATAGCTAAAACCATCACAGGTGCCCAGGAGTGACGCCCTGAGGGAACAGGATGGGTGTCCAGGGGTCAGGGCATGTGCTAGGGCTTTGGGAGATTTCATTGGATGGTCAAGGACTTTTTTTTTTTTAACTCATTAGTCTTGGGGGGGTTTTGTTGTGTTTTTTTTTGTTTGTTTACAGCACATGTGTCAAACACAAGACCCGCGGGCCAAATCCAACCCGCCAGGCCTTGCAATGTGGCCCGCACCGCGCTGTCATCACTGCACTCCGCTGCGTTTCCATCACAATGACAGTTTATGACTGTTCAGTAAACCATTCGGCCCGCGATTTAGGCTGGATTTTAGATTTTGGCCCCTTCTCTGATTGAGTTCGACACCCCTAGTTTACAGAGAGGAAGGGAAGGAGGTAGAAGGTAAGAAACATTGATGAGAGAGAAACATCAATCAGCTGCCTCCTGCACATCCCATACTGGAGATGAGCCCGCAACCAAGGTACATTCCCTTGACCTGAATCGAACCTGGGACCCTTTAGTGTGCAGGCCAACGCTCTATCCACTGGGCCAACGAGTTAGGGCTAGACTTGTTTTTTTATCCTCTAAAATGAATTATCCAAACACACTGAGGGAAAGGATATTGGGGGCTGGGTGAAAAACGGATAAAGCAAAAAAACAAAAACATAGACACAGACAACAGTATGGTAATAACCAGAGGAGAAGGACAGTGGGGGAGATAGAAAAGGATAAAAGGGGGGTAAAGAGTGACAGAAGAAGACTTGACCTTGAGAAGTGAACATACAATACAATATGTAGATGATGTATTATAGAATTGTACACTAGAAACCTATATTATTTTATTCACTAGTCACCCCAATAAATTCAATAAAAATTTAAAAACAAAACAAACAAATACAAAACCTTCTGTGGCCTCCTATCTGAATCAGAATGGACATCAAAGCCCTTACAATGGCAACAAAGCCTCATTAGGGGCCAGTTTCTTTTCTGATCTTTATCTTTGGTTCACAGACCTTGAATTTGATGCCATTTTCTGTGCATATGTGAATCTGTGCACTCTTCCGGGGAGAGCCCATGTGGCAGTCACCAGATTCTCAAAGGACTCAAAATCTCCCCAAAGCTTAAGAAAGAATCCCTGCTTGGAGGAAGCCTCACACTTGAAAATGCAATTTTAAGAAGGGACTTGATCATATTAACAAATAATATGGAGAGGATTCCTTATATGACTACAGGAATCACTTAAAATGTCCGACAATACAGTGAAGTGGACAAAATTAAGCACATGCACTGATTTTTGCAGACTCTTTGTGACTCAAGTGTATCAGTTTTAAGGGGATTCGGAATAAATCCCATCATAGTAAAACCTTAGTGTAACAAAAAGAAACAGTAAAATGAAAGAGTTAACTATCTTGTTTACAGGAGCTTTCAGAGATTTTAAAGCATAGCTCACATACAATAGAGTATACAAATCCTAAATGTACCATCAGATGAATTTTACAAAGTTAGCATATTGGCTACCCAGGTCAAGAAACAAAACCTTAAAAGCACCTAAAATGAAATTGCCAATCCTTTCTACTCCCCAAAGCTCACCACAGCCTTGGCTTCTAACACTAGAGATTCGTTCTGAAGTTTCTAAAATGCAATCATGCACACGGTGTTCCTTTTGTGTGTCTCTTCTTTGGTGAGATGCGGTTTTGTGTCATGTAATACTGCTTCCTTTTTATTGCTGACAATAAAGTTTTTCATTGTGACAGTGTACCATTCCTCTGCTCAACATTTAGATTGTTCCGGGGTCTTCTGGCTCTGTTGAGTCAAGCAGCATTGAAAATCTTACTATCTTTGGTGCACATAGGTACACATTTGTTGGGTCATAGGCTATGGCGTTCTAGATATTGCCAAAGTTTTACTAAGTAATTGTATCCATTCATCTTCCCACCAGCAGCAAGTGAATGTTCCAAATATCCTAAATGATCAAGGAAGTTTTCATTGAACTGTCTAATGAATCACTGTGTTTGCCAAATGAATGCCCCGAGCAAGAGGCGAGGCAGTGGACTATGGCAGAAGTCACAGTCATGTGAAACCGGAAGTGAAGCGTGCCCTCGTTCTGGAATGAAGTAAGTCCTCATTACAGAAACAGTGCTGACCTCCAAGACCACTTTCATCTCGGAAGGTCTTGGCTCGTGAGGTTTTGTGACTTTCATAAGAAGTGCTCCATTCATCACATACTTCCTGGTGTCTCCCTGTGCCAGACGCAGAACCAGCTGTGGGTGACGCAAAACACCAAGATGCACACGTGTACCACGGATGCACTGCTTTCAGTGCTATGATTGATGGGAGCAAGGACTCTGACCAGCCAAAGGCTTAGGGAGAGGGCGTGGGAATGAGTGAGCGAGATGTGCAAGAAGAGTTCTTGGCCCTAGAGTGGTTATTTTTTTCCAGATAGCAAGGCTGAGCTGGCAGAACAGTCATGATCCCAAAGGAGCCAAGGGCAAGGCAGTGCTCGGGCCACTGTGTGCAAGCCACCTCGCTGCTTGGCAACACACACCTACCACGTCTGCCAGCCTCTGCCTACATCAAAATCTGGGCTGGGCCTTGGGCAGTAGAGCCTGCGACCTGTGCTCGGACCCAAGCACAAAAGAGACTCAGAGAATGCAGTTATGGCATTTTCAGCTTCTTTAGAGAGAAGGGGACCCCAAAACCCAGGAAAGTGTTCAGATATTAGACCATTGGGGCTATGGTTGCTGATAATAACAAGAGCTAAGGCAGTTACCATTTGTGCATCCTGGCTGGATTTTTATTTAAAACAACCACTAAAGAGCATCAAAACATTGTTTTATTCTTCGTTATCTTCTAGAGTTAAAGCTCTCAAGATTCACATCTTAGATCCACCTCACTCTAAAAGGCACAGCTGTCACAAGTTCAGAAGTGACACACCTTCTTAAAACCATGCCAGGTATGCAGGAGGAATGGTCACCCCGAGGGGTGGACTAACCCAGCCAACGCAGCTCCCCATTATCTGAAGCAGCTAACAGGACCAGTGTTTGTTCCCAGACCTGGAATATAATGGTTCGTGATTTCTCAATTGAAGGTTTGTCTCCTTCAAAGACCTGACCGGGGACTATTTCTGAGAACAATGGAAATCTCACTCCCACCTGCCCAGGTTCACAGCCGGGCACTAATAAATGAACACATGCCTTAATGATGACCCAGTGCCATCATCCTTAGCCCTCAGCCCTCCTTGCCTCTTCCCTGTGGCTGACCACACCAGCTGGCTTTGTTACCACTGAGTCCTCCCCACCTGGTGAGTTATGGGCAGACTGTGAAATAGCAGCTCTGCCCTTCCTCTTCCCATTCTCAACTTTCCCCCCTGTGTGCTTCCTCGGGTAAAGTTGCCTCATTCTTTCATGAAATTTCTTCCCCCAGCCCCTGCTACAGGATATGCATGCAATCAACTGTGTGTCAGTTTGACTGGGCCATGGATCCCTAGATATTTCATCAAACATAATTCTGGATGTGTCTGTGAGGATGTTTCTGAGTATATGCACTTCAGAACAAATTCTACTACAGATTTTCATCATGAAAAAAGACAGACTTTTAAATGAGGGAGTTCATTGAGAGAGAAGAATTTTCAGTAACCAGAGAGAGCTAACCTTTCCTTGCTGCTGGAGCAGACTGAGAGATGGAGGAGAAGGGAGAGGGCATCATCACACCCTCTCCTCCCTGGGATGCTGCAAAGCTGCCCTGAGCAGAGAGAAGGGGAGAGCTGGAGGATTAGAATGGGAGGAGGGTGATATTTTAAATGAAATGGCACTGGGTGTTTACAACTCTCAAAGTAAAAGTGAGGCTGAGATGAGTCAGTAAAATAAAGCCATTTTCTGTTTGCACCCCAGGAGGCCAGCCTGCTCAACAGACCTACTCAGATTTCTTCAGCCTCGGGAGACTCTGTGTACCCTGAGGGAATGCTTCTTACTCTGTGTTTATCCCAGACTATCCGAGTCTGACCTCAGAACATAGATTTCGGGGAGATAGAATCTGTCTGACTTAGAGGTTACTCCACTCAACAGCCTGCTCATCCTTCCCAAGGGGAAATGAGCCAGGGCCAACCCCAGCCCAGATAGGAGGCTGAAAAAACGGAAAACGCAGGAAGGAAAAAATGTGTAGAGATTATTCTTGCAAAACCTTAGCCCAGATAAAGAGGTCAAAACCAAAAATAATCAGAGATCAGAATGGTAAAGAGGAAGGCTACTTGCGCCAGAAGGCAACATTATCTTCCTCACAACCTTAGGTGAACGGGGGGGGGGGGGGGGGGGGGGGTCAGACAATTCCTCCAGCTCCTATATGGCCTTTAGGCTAGTCAGGACATCTCTTTCCGAGGCTTCGGCTTTCAAAATAGACACGAGTAGCTTGTTCCAGCAACCTCACACCAGTGGCATGGAGTCAAATGTGATTGCATGGCCTGAAATGAAACAGAAACTCTGAAAACTGCACAAAGCCACTCTACCCAGAATATTCCCAGTCGTCATCTGCTAATTACGGAGGCCTCTCTGGAGACTGGTTACCTCTGTAATTCTCCTCCTAAGGATATATTTAGGCTACTCTTGTTTTGTGACTATTTTGGTGAATGCAAAAACAGTATTCTACTGAATTTAAACATGCATAGCTTACCAACAAGTTGTGTCCCAAAAGCAGGTTAGAGATCTGTTTTACGTAAAAACCATGATAAAAGGAATCCGTTACACATATGCAAACCAATAGAAAACAAGTCTGTTACAAAGTATGAAGCCAAACAGGAAAAATATATATTAAGAGTGACCAAGTAATAAGTCATTCACTAACTTAACACAGGTACTTTAAAATTCTCCATTAATGCTTGAATGCTGCTATTTCCTGCAGCCTGAAGACTTATGCTGGGCATAAAACAAGTCCACCAGGGGGGATGTGGAAAATTGTAATGGAATTCCTGGCAAGTCAGAGCAACCCACACGTTTCTCCTCTAGGACTTCCCGGAGCCAGTTTCCTTCCCGCCTCTGTCCAGGGACCACCTTCTGGCTCCACGCCATCCTTAACACATCCCCCCATGTGTCTCCCCCAACTCTAGCATGAGGAGAGCCACACACACGGTTCATGCTTAGGAGAAGGAGGGGCTGACCTTTCTATTTTTAAATTTACTGGTATAGTCTAATTGCAAACAAAGTCCTTAATTGCCCGGTTCTAAGCCAGCCGGATCTAAAGGGGCCAGGTGTGCTGTGCCGGCAATGTGTCCGGACCAAGGGGTCTCGTGGGTCCATTTTAACTCGGTCTGTCTTTCTAAGTCTAGCATGGGTTTCCCCAGCTAGGGCTGGAGACCACATGGCCAGGACAGGCTACATCATATGCGAGGCCCAGTACAAAATGACAATGCAAGACCCTCCTGTTCAGAACCACTAAGACTTTCAAGACCGTAACAGCAGAGTATTCAATCAAACACGAGCCACTAATGCATGGACCCTGTGTTTACTGCCCAGGTCGCAGACCACTGAAACTAGCCCTGAATGTGGCACCAAGCAGCCTGGATGACCTTGACCCTGCTGGGTCATGTCCCAATTCCTGTGCAGATTTTCCAAGGGACTTCCGTTAGCCTCTTTCCATTGTGTGGACTGGGCAAAGAGCCCTTAAGAAAGGCGCCGCTGGTTCCCGGCCTCAGAGACTCCCTTTGCTTCCAAGGCCCCCTATCTGGCTGGCTGAGCAGAGAGTGCTTTAACCCAGCACTTAGGTTCCAGCTCTCCTGTGGTCCCGCACAGAACTTCCCCTGTTCAGAACTTTCAAAAATAGGAACACGGCGCTCCGGGACACAGGCAATAGACACGGGGCTGCAGGGGCCACGCTGGGTCCTTCCTGTTGCAACATCTGTTTTTCACTGCTCTGCACCTTTCGTCGCTGGCTGCATCTGGGCCTTTCTTTAGGTCTTTAGCCAACATTACCCCCTGGTGTGATGATTAATTCTGTGGGTCAGTTTGGGCCATGGATCCCTAGATATTTGATCAAACATAATTCTGGGTGTGTCTGTGAGGGTGTTTCTGAGTAAGATTAACATTTGAATCAGCAGACTGAGTAATGCAGATGGCTCCTCCTCCCCCCATGAGGGTGGACATCATCCAAGCAGTTGAAGGCCTGAATAGAACAAAAAGGCTGATCCTCCAGTGACTGGGGTGGGGAGGGGGGTGGGGGGTGGGGAAGAGAAGAGGGGGAGGAACCAACAACACCTGGGACATTAGTCTTCGCCTGCCTTTGGACTCAAACAGAAACATGGGCTCCTGGGTCTCCAGCCGGCAGGCTTTCAGATTGCAGCTTCCACCATCAGACTGGCTTACACCATCCGCTCTCCTGAGTCCCAGCTTGCTGACTGCAGATCTGGAGACTTTTCAGCTCCATAACCTCAGGAGCCAATCCCTTATAATAAACTCAACTATCATCTATCTAAAATAAATGTGGTTTTTTTTTTCTGTCAATAGTGTCAACCGATGGTTGTTGGCACCAATTTAATGCCAACAGGAATGTCCAATCATGGGTGCAGTGTAGAAGGAAACTTTAGTGCCAACAGCTCAAAGGTAACCCAGCATGGCTGTGAAAATAGCACTGCTTTGGAACAGCTCGAGCATCTATAATAATAAAAGTATAATATGCTAATTAGACCAGATGTCCTTTTGGATAACCTTCCAGACGAAGCCAGGGCTGTGAGAGAAGCCTGTGTCCCAGGTACCTGCCGGCAGGAGGAAAGCCCAGGTCCCAGGTGCCAGAGGGAAGCCGGTGCCGGCAGCTGGGGGGAAAAAGGCCTACTCTTGCAGAATTTTGTGCATCAGGTCTCTAATAAGCTTACTAAAATTTGTCTGGAAATTTCTCTGGGGTTCCTTTTTTAAAAATATATTTTTTTTTATTGACTTCAGAGAGGAAGGGAGAGGTAGAGATAAAAACATCAATGATGAAAGAGAATCATTCATTGGCTACCACCTGCATGCCCCCTACCAGGGATTGAGCCTGCAACCTAGACATGTGACCTTGACTAGAATCGAACCCAGGACCCTTCAGTCCACAGGCTGAGGCTCTATCCACTGAGCAAAACCAGCCAAGGCCAGGGTTCCCTTTTGATTTCTCTCTTGGGGAACCTGAGAACCCTAATGCCAATATTAAAGATATGCACCCTATGGAGGTGAAATCTTGCACATTTGATCATTCCGTTATCCATGTACTGAATGTATATTGAGCATCTAACACATGCCTGGTGGTGTGCTGGGGACTAGGAGTCAAACCCTGATCCTGGTTTGACCCCTCGTCCCCAGTCACTGGCAGCCTGGATCTGGGCTGGTGTCCGCTAAGTGCTGGCCCACAGTTCTGGAAGGCTCTCATTCAGAAGCCGCCTGGAGGGCTCTGGTCTGGAGCTGTGACAAGCATCAGAACATATCTGGCCATCTTTTGGCTTAAGTTCAAAAGGAAGAGAGGTTAGTTGGAGGGCACCGTGGTGCTGGGACACATTTGACCTAGAAATCATTTTCCTGAATAAATTCACTGAGTTACTATCTGACCTCTTCCACTTGCAGGAATTTATCATTTTCCAAGGCTATTAAGTTCATGTTTTCTTCAACAGATTGAACTTTTGTTAAGAAAACAAGAATAAATAAATGGCATAATCATTTAACTCCATCAGAGGCAACAAAACTCTGCACAGCAGATGCTAAGTACCATATATTTCACCATTGGTACATCAGCCTATGTGACTGAAGGACAAAGGCAGTGACCCCTGGCCTCCTCTGTAGGCTCAGTGACATCCTGCCCAATTGCCAAGGGCCTGATTGTGGCTCCCCAGATGGATTATGGCAATAACATACCGAGTCATGGGTCGTTGGGTATTGAGTGCCTATTATATTTTAACACTTTATCCTTTTTAAACCTCTCAGCAACTCTGTAATATAGGAACAACTACTATTCCTTCTTTACTAATGAGAAAACTGAAGCATCAAGAATTAAGTAACTTGCCAAGGTCCCACCTTGCTGGCAAGTAGCAGATCCGGGTCTTGAACACAAGTGATCTGGTTTTTGTCTCTCACTGCTTTAGACCTGACCTGGCAATAGCATTCCTGAGAGATTGTTTTATCTCCTTTCCTTTCCTCCTACTCCGTGTCCCCCTCAGCCTAGCAGCTATTTAAGTGGTAACTGGCTGTATGTTCTTTTTGCTTTTAGAAGATTGGAAAGACTTTTACCACATCTCTCTACTTCTCCTTTGGTTTATCTTGTCTAAAGCTCAACACAAACAAGAGAGAGCCTGACCCACGCCCTCCAGGTGGCTTCTGAATGAGAGCCTTCCAGAACTGTGGGCCAGCCCTTCGTTGACACCAGCCCCCATCCAGGCTGCCAGTGACTCAGGGGAGAATCTGAGAGGCTGACGGGCCCTCCTGTCCCAGGCCCTGGCAGCAGCCTT